CCTTAACATCAGTTTACCTTAACTTCAGTTTACCTTAGCATTGGTGAATGGCTCTGTAGCTGCTGCTGTTGTTCTGTTTTTGCTAAAGTTGCTTTGTAGTTGCTATAGTTGCTATAGTTATTCAAATGGCTCTAAAGAAACAGAAAACCATTGTTCCGTTCTATTGCTGCTCTCCATCTGCTGTCCTGTTATCTCCACCCCCCCTCCATCCATCCCCACTCCCACCCAGCTGGTCCAGGCAGATGGCCTCCTTCCCTGAGCCTGGTTCTGTCGGAGGTCTTCTCCTACGACTGGCGGGTTTTGTTTCCTTCCCACCATTGCCAACCGCTTGCTCAGAGGAAGTCCAAAGGCTGCTCTGGATTGTTGGGTTCTCTGTTTAAATTCTAAGGTTTATACCCGACTATGTTGAGCGCCGTGAGATGTGTTGTGGACTGCACGATTGGTAGAATAATTCTATGTTATGATCCAATGATCTTTGTGAAAAGCATGAGAATGCTGTAAATGTCCATTGCCTCTATTTCACAGTGTGAGTGTCAGGTAAGGCCCAGACGTCCTTAGCGGGTAGTCAGAACACCATGCCTAATCGCACACATTAGCGGGAGGTTGTCTCCTGTTGTCTGTATATAAGAACCAACGCTTCATGCTTCTAGTCAGTCACTTGTTCAGACTCTGTGCTGTACATGTTGCTCCTTGCTGCAAGTAAAACTTTGCTTTGACTTAAGAGACGACTCTGTGTATTGATTTTGGAGCAGTTAGGAGTTTTCCTAACATTTTTGGTCATTCGAGCTGGATCCCAACATCCCTCCTCTGAACAGGTTTGGGGCCGAGACCATACACGGGGGAGTCTGGGACTCCTGGAAGAAAGACCTCCGTCTTGAATTGGACGTTCAGAGAGGCCAGCCACTGCTGTCCAGAGGAGGGTGACTGGATTTAAAGAACAAGTTAAGAGTCGTCACAAGTCAAAGGTAGGCCTGGTTTTACTTGTCTCTTTCCAAGAAACACTCAGAGTTTGGGAGGTAGTTATTCAGTAGTGTCTCAGTGAAACCAACCAGCAGGAGTAACCTAACGGTGGCAACGACCCGCTGGTTTGTGGATACCTAACGGTGGCAACGAAGCAAAGGTTTCACTGATCGGACCAGTTGCTCGGGTGAACTCCATACAAACTGGTTGGCTACTGGAGGGGAACTGGGTTCCTTAGATTCCTCAGGGGAACAGTGACAAAACTACCAGAGCTGGACAGGGCTCTATAAATCTGTCATAAAGAAGTCGGACAGGACTATAAGTCTGTGTTAGATTTTATAAAGACAGTCATAACAGGACTTAAAGCTGTTGTAAGAAGTCTGGTAGGACTATAACTGTTAACAGTACTGTTTAAAGAAGTGTTGAGGGGAGAGACAATTAAACAATAAAATAAGACATTAAAATAAAACAATATAATAAAACAATAAAATAAAACAGTAAAATAAGGAAAGGAAAATACCATATATATAAAATGGGATGTTGTGGGAGGAAACCCACGGGAGATGCCAAATGCATGCAACAGATCAATCCAAAATCAATAAAACACCTAAAAAACTGGCAAAAGAAAAACGGTTTTGAAGGTAAATTGGATGAAGAAAAATGTAAAAAGTTAGTTTGTAAAATAGAAAAAGAATGTGGAGTAAGAGAAGATGAAAAGAAAAAAGAAGGCTGGCAGGAAGCAAATCAATGGCTTGAACAAGCAAAGAAGCAAAAAGAAGGAAGAGAAGAAAAGAAGAGAGAAAAACAGAGAGACCAAATGTTGTTGGAGGACGAGGAAGATATGAATGCTGTGAGGCAGGCGAACCACAGGAGGGCGCTGTGGGGAGGAAACGAAGAGCAGACACAGCCTCACCCCATTGCTCCACCTGTCCCTCACATTTACCCTGAACTGTCAGATCAGGCAAGCAGTCCATCAGCATCTACAGATATACTGAGCAATGTTGGTCCATTTAGCTCGCCAATATCGGCCCGCACAAGATCAAGGATAGGCTAAAGTACAAATCCATTTGCTTCAGGGCAACAAATGTTTGGGCTCAAGATCAACCACAACAACCTGAAATGCTCCAAAGCCCAATGATTGAAGTCCCAAATCCAGTCCAGGGGACAACAGAACCAGCCCAGGCATTAGCCATGCACATCTTCTGCCCATGGACGTTAGATGATATGAAAACAGCTGCTGAAGGCAGAAACAGTCACACAGTTAATGTGGCAGAGTGGGAGACAGGAGTCAGAGGACTCATGCAGAGTGATCATTTGAAGTCCAAGTCCTCCTGGGACACGACTGGGACAGAGTCCAAGGATCTTATACTGGCATGGCCGCTGCAGGACTGGCCACGCCCCTAGATTCAGCTGCCTTACTGGGAGCGATAGATCTGGTCCTGACAGCGTGCAGAAACACATTCCAGTCCCGCCCAGACTGGACCAGAATCACTGAAACCATCCAAGATACAGGAGAGTGAGTTCAACAATATAGAGTGAGACGCCTACAGGTGTTTGATGCACATAGTGGACTGAAGCCACCAGCAGCTGTGGATCCAACAGGCCCCTATGAGCAGCAGTTAGAATGCCTTCATATTGGGCCCAAACAGCTGACTATGTGCGTAAACATATGGCAACACATCGTACAGCTCACTAGCCAATATGCTGCAATATGCTGGAAACTATGAAAGATGTTTTAAGGTTAAAGTTCAACAACCAACAAACCCTGAAACATTCTGTAGTGAAGCTCCAGCCATGCCCTCAGCCCCACCAATGACTGGTTACTGGGCTGACAGACCTACAGGAGACTATAGAGGGAGGGGTAGAGGCCGCTAAGACAGATTTTGAATTCTTTGCAGATGGGTCCTGTACAAAACAAAAAGATGGAAAAAATGCTTTAAAAGGTTATGCAGTAGTTAGACAAAACAAAGTAGTAGAAGCAAAACCTCTTCCTCAGCATCTGTCAGCACAAGCTGCAGAATTAACAGCATTAACTGCTGCATGCAGACCAGCTGCAGGTGAAACTGTCACCATTTATACAGACAGCCAACATGCTTTCTCCACAATAACTACCTTTGCAGCACAGTGGAACAGCAGAGGTACGGTTACTTCTACAGGTAAACCAGTTAACCATCAAGAGTTAATTAGGAACCTCCTAGCTGCTGTACAACTCCCTCAGTAAATAGATATCTGCAAGTGTGCTGTGCACCTATCTAGCAAAGACCCCATTGCCATTGGCAACGCAAAAGCTAAACGTGCAGCCAAACTAGCAGCTCATCTAACATATAAAGAACAATGTGTATTAAAGCCACAAGCGTCATTGGATGGGTCCTCGCTTCTTGTGGCAGTACGACGGAGATAGTCGGTGTGCATATGTACGTAATGTGGCTCATACTGCAATGAAACGTGTGAATTTTGAGCATATGCAGACTATTTACACTTTACTTCCTGTTTCCAGCAGGTGGCGTTTTGGCTGAGGGTCATTATTGTTGTGTGGCTGTGATGAGTACCGGACTGTGATGCAACGTGCAAAGTTGGAGCCAAATCCGACCATGTTTAGGCTATTTACACGTCACTTCCTGTTTTGTGGCAAATGCATATGGTCGTGGCCACACCCCCAAATGGTGTTGTAAGTGTACGCCCACCACTTCCTGTTTAATGGTGTGGCGTGCTGGCAAGGTGCTGTGGCTGGGACTCGGAGCACACGAGTACAGTTTCAGAAGGATCAGAGCGCAAACATACAAGTTACACAGCTCGTCCCATTTTATGGCGTTTTATGGCATTTTGACATTTTCTACAGGCCGCCATTTTGACGCTGTCAAACTTTTACAGAGCGTTTTAATAATTTTTAATCGCCACGTCCTGTAGTTTGTGCTGGCCAAATTTCAGGTGTGTACGACGTACCCCCTAGGAGGAGATAGATTTTGAAGGACAGATTTTCAGCCAAAATACGCTATTTTTTTCAAAATGGCCGACTTCCTGTTGCGTTTCACGTATGTGTTCTTGAGACTTTTTTGTGTGTGTCGGCATGTTACGTGTGTGCCAAATTTCGTGGCTCTACGTGAAAGTGTGTTCGGGAGCCCTTTTTTCGTAATTTTCTAGGAGGCGCTGTTGAGCCATTTTTCGATTCAGGTGTGTATTTCCCCCAATTATGAAATTTTTTGCCGGGTCTGATGTGTGTGCCAAGTCTTGTGCGTGTGTGAGTATGTTTAGGACCTCAAAAATGTGTTTCTTTGTGACGAAGAAATACTAATAATAAACCCGAGCAGTTCCAACGAACACCAGAGACGCTGGACACTGAACTACTCAGAGAAACGCAAATAAAACTGAATCGAATTGAAGTTGCAGTTGTTGCTCTGTGGTTACTGTAATCGCTGTAATGTCTCTACGGTTGCGCTAATGGCTCTGTGGTTGCTGTTGTTGCTCTGTAGCTGCTCTATAGGTGCTCAAATGGCTCTGAAGTTGCCGTAGTTGCTTTGTGGTTGCTGTCGTCAGCCTTGTTTTCTCACCTCTGCAGAAGCCAAAGCCATCAGCAGTGAATCCAGCGGGACACTGGACGGTGGTCACCCTGGCAACATTGCCGGTGGTCTGGTAGTTGCCCCGGCGACTCGGTCCAGCCAGGAGGGGGATGAGGAGTGGCGGTGGGGGCCGGGTGGTGGCAGCAGGTTGATCGTCGCCGTTGGTGATGATGATCTGTGCATTCTGCGGCAGACAGAAGTATCCACCGTAGTGGTTGATGCAACCCATCTGTCCTTTACAGGCATCGGGCAACATCTCACACTCGTTGATGTCTGGGAAACATAGTCCAGAAACATTTAGCAGGAAGCAACGGGGAGACGGGAAGGAACTAACTGCAACTTCACCATGAATATCCTGTCAGTGACATGTTTAAGTGGTCAGACCTGTAATCAGTCATTTAGAAAAAAACCTATCTATCAAATGTGAAACACGATTTAATCTTTGTCAGTAATTTATTGCTGATGTAACGTGATTGATCGGTGATGCCTGCTGGGACTGACCTTTACATTCCTGCTCCTCCACATTGAACTCGTAGCCCTCCGTGCACTGTCAGGGAAGATCAATCAGGTTATTGATCGATCAGGAAAACTGCTATGAACACTGTGTATTGTTAAAATAGAATGTTTCCATACATGTTACTGATCCATTGGAAGAACAAAATTCAAGTTATTGGTAATTCAGTACAAACACCCTAAATAGTTGACACACAATTTAAAACAGAATTCAACCATAGTAATGAAATAAAGACAGAAAAATATGACTGGAGCAGAGAAGCAGCAATCACATCCAGCTGTTCAGCAACAGTCACCCTGTAGTACCCTGTAGTACTCTGTAGTACCCTGTAGTACCCTGCAGTACCCTGTAGTACCCTGCAGTACCCTGTAGTACCCTGTAGTACCCTGTAGTACTCTGTAGTACTCTGTAGTACCCTGTAGTACCCTGCAGTACCCTGCAGTACCCTGTAGTACTCTGTAGTACCCTGTAGTACTCTGCAGTACCCTGTAGTACCCTGTAGTACCCTGTAGTACTCTGTAGTACTCTGTGGTACCCTGTGGTACTGAGCAGTACTGCTTACTGCGTAGCCGGCCCGCTGCTCCACCTGCTGACCCGCCACCACACAGATGAGAGCCGTGACGAGAATCTGCTGCATCCTGATGAAGCTTCGGCCGGAGAAGTCCAACAGAGTTTCTGCAGCCGATCAGAACCAGAACCGCTCTGACAGAACCACCCTTGAGGAGTCCTACGTGCACAGCTGCCGCCTTAACTGTGTCGGCTCTGAGCGGAGTCGGATCCAGAGGAGCGGCAGGAGGCGGGTCGGTGCTGGGAGGTGGAGCGGTGGCGCCCCCTGCTGCCGGCCCAGAGGCTCGGTTGACACGGGGCAGGTGCTGGAATTACTCAAGTACAAACAGCTCAGAGTACTCGCTGGTATTCATGTTCAGTACCAGGAGCAGAAGTTCAGGCTGATTCTTCCTCCTGGTTCAGTTCCACTGGGTCTGAAGCACTGCAGCTCCACGGAACCAGAACACGAAGAAGCACAGAACCAGGCGTGTGTGTGTGTCAGCAGAACTCCACCAGGTATCATCTGCAGGTCAACAGCAGGAGACCAGCAGCCTGATCCAGGATCTGCTTCTCCTGAACACACCTGATGGTCAGAACAGCTGTCAGCACCAATCACTGAATGAGTGGAGCAGGAAGTGGGCAGCTCGTTAGCTCGTGAGCTCATTAACTCGTCAGCTCGTGAGCTCGTTAGCTGAGCCTCATGAAGGGTCATTTAGGGTCATCTGAAGAGGAAGTCGTCAGCAACAGGAGCTGCTGCAGTGAAAGCAAACATCTCAGTCTGGAAAATGCAACCAGACAAAAACCAACACAAACGAAACCCAAAACAACGGAGGACGAAATTCTGAAACAAGGAGTCAGTCCGACAGATGATGTGGTTCTGGTGCTGCAACCTGCCGGGTCAACGAGTGTTTAAATGTAAAGCAAACCAGAGAAACGTTCCTTCTCTCTGGTCTTCATGGTTCTGAGTCCAGCTGACAGAAGACGTCTGAGTTCTGTCTCCTCCTCCATGTGGTTCTGGTTCCTCAGAGCTGCAGGACTTGATGTTGGAACATGACCCAGTGAAGATAAACAACAGGTTCTGTGTTTTCTCATCCAGACTTTGAAACGTTCCTGGAACAGGAGAAGTGCAGAAAACCACCTCAAACGAAATACTAGAAGTACTTCTACTGACTACTTCAATTGAAGAGTAAAAGTACTTTAACTGGATCAATAAAAACCAGCTGATGACTCAAACTGGTGCCCATCCAGGGACTTGGTGACATCATAAACGGATGAGCCAATCAGAGGGGCTGTCTGTGAGCTGTGACCTGACGGCGTGGAGGCCAGAAGTCGTGCTGCTGATCTGAAGCTGCACCAGGATCAGCTGCTATATTTACCTCAGATTAGCAGCAGAGAGTCGCAGCACACAGCCGCTACACAACAGACACAACATGTCGGCCGGCGGCCCCCCCTGGAGGAACCACAGCCTGGTCCTGGGAGGGGGCGGAGACCCTCCTCTGTCCGACCAGGGAGAGACCATCATAGGAGTCTACCTGCTGCTGCTGGGTGAGGACACACAACACACACCTGAGCTGCAGTCGCAGCGGGTGTCCTGCTGCCAGGACAGTTGTTGGTCTGTTGTCGTCGTCTGACAACACAAACACATGAAGCAGCGACGTCCTGACGCGTCCTCGTCAGTCGGGGGCGCTCTGTGTCTGTGATGCTTGTGTTTGTGTGTGTTGTGGTCGTGTTGTGTCTCTGTGTGGATATGTGACGCCTTGTCCTGGCTGTGTTGCGTCTCTTTGTGTCGGTCCAGTCAGCTGTGTGATGTTTGCTGCGGTTGTGCGTCCTCAGGCTGGTTGTCGTGGTTCGGGAACAGCGTGGTGCTGTTCGTCCTGTACCGCCAGAGGGCGGCGCTGCAGCCCACGGACTTCCTGACGCTGAACCTGGCCGTGTCCGACGCCAGCATCTCTGTGTTCGGCTACTCCAGAGGAATCATCGAGATCTTCAACGTCTTCCAGGACAGCGGGTACCTCATCTCATCCATCTGGACCTGCCAGGTACTGACACTCGCCTGAGACTCACCTGAGACAGGGTGCAGCGTGTCTTGGTGTCTGACCTGTGGCGCCTCGTGTCCTCCAGGTGGACGGTTTCTTCACGCTGGTGTTCGGTCTGAGCAGCATCAACACGCTCACAGTGATCAGCATCACGCGCTACATCAAAGGCTGCCACCCCAGCAGAGGTCAGTAACCACGGTGACCACTGGTCACTTCCGCTGACGGAGCCAGCAGGTGGACTAGTTAACTGGGCATTACCGAGTTAACCAGCTGCTCTAAACTCACCTGTTAATGACTGTTTGCTGTTGCAGCGCGTCACATCAGCAGAACCAGCGTGTTTGTGTGTCTGCTGCTCATCTGGGTCACAGCTGGGTTCTGGGCCGGAGCGCCGCTGCTGGGCTGGGGCAGCTACACAGGTAGAACTTTATTTGTAACTCAGCTACACAGGTAGAACTTTATTCATGACGCAGCTGCACAGGTACAAAACCTCAAAACTTTTTACAGATCGGGGTTATGGTACCTGTGAGATTGACTGGGCCAAAGCGAGCTACTCTGGTGCCTACCGGTCCTTCATCGTGTCCATCTTGGTCTGCTGTTTTCTGGTTCCTGTTCTTGTCATGCTCTTCTGCTACGTGTCCATCATCAACACTGTGAAGCGCGGCAACGCCTTGTCAGCAGAGGGCGACCTGACCGACCGCCAGAGGAAGATCGAGAGGGACGTCACCATCGTGAGTGTCACAGGTTCCATCAGGTCCCGTCAGGTTCCATCAGGTCCCATCAGGTCCCGTCAGGTCCCATCAGGTCTCATCAGGTCCCATCAGGTTCCGTCAGGTTCCGTCAGGTCCCGTCAGGTCCCGTCAGGTCCCGTCAGGTTCCATCAAGTCCCATCAGGTTCCGTCAAGTCCCGTCAGGTCCCGTCAGGTACCATCAAGTCCCGTCAGGTTCCGTCAGGTTCCGTCAGGTCCTGTCAGGTCCTGTCAGGTCCCGTCAGATTCCATCAAATCCCATCAGGTCTCATCAGGTCTCATCAGGTCCCGTAAGGTTCAGTCAGGTTCCGTCAGGTTCCGTCAGGTTCCGTCAGGTCCCGTAAGGTTCAGTCAGGTCCATCAGGGTAGTTGAATCTGGTCCTTCTGTCTCCACCAGGTCTCCATAGTGATCTGCACGGCCTTCATCCTGGCCTGGTCTCCCTACGCTGTGGTGTCCATGTGGTCGGCCTGCGGCTTCCATGTTCCAAACCTCACCAGCATCTTCACGCGCCTCTTTGCCAAGTCTGCCAGTTTCTACAACCCTCTGATCTACTTCGGCCTCAGCTCCAAGTTTCGCAAAGATGTGGCGGTCCTGCTGCCGTGCACCCGCGATGCCAAAGACACCGTCAAGCTGAAGCGATTTAAGCCCAAAGCCGACGCCCACGGCCGCCCTGCTGCAGGAGGCGGGGCCAAACTGAAGCTTCCCCTCAACCGGCCAGAGAAGAAATACTGTACAGGGAACCAGGCTCCGCCCCCTGACCCTGGCAGAGGAAGCCCGCCCTGCACACCACCGCCCGTTACCAAAGAGGTGTTCTACATCGACATGCCCCGCCCCTCTGACACCGGCTCTGACTTTGAATGTGACAGACTCTGACAGCTGCTGATGTTCAACAGATCTGCTAGGCTAGAAAAAAATCCATCAAATTAACCCTCTGACCCCCAAAACCAGGGGCTTCAAAGGACACATCCATCCATCATCTCTACACCTTAATCCTCACTAGGGGGCGGAGTCTATCCCAGCTGACTCAGGGTGAAGGCAGGCCCTCAAAGGACACATGATCTTTTTTTTTTTTTAAATCACAGAAATTAGACCATTTATGGGCTGCAGGTGTCTCGGTGGTTAGCA